GCGCATATATATATATATATATATATATATATATATATATATACACTTTTCTAATATTTGCTCCTTGTGGAGAATCTTTGATTTTATTGATATCCCTATACATTCATCAGTTATATAGAGGATCCCATAAAGGTTCTTGTTTACCACAAATGACAAAAATAAATATTTTGGCTATCAGTGCTACAACACTTCATAGCATTGAATTGTGAAATTAAGGAATGTGAATTTTGTTCGTGATTTTAAACAAAAATATCTGAGTACTATTTGAAGGCATTGTCCTTTTTACAGATGATGTCGACCTTATATTATTCTTTAGCTTTAAAATGAACCAATATTCGAAAACTAAGTGAGTAATGGAGGATTGGATTCAATTTCAAAGGTGATAAAGCGAGAACTGAAAAGCTAGGAAGCACTGGACAGCTATTTTGACCTGGTTGGGTTCGACTTTTATCTTCTCTATGCGTTTTGGTTTTCGATAAAATTCTTCGTAGGATTGTCTTTGTTTCATGGGCAATTGGAATATGGAGTGGCTTCAGTATTCGGTTGCTAATCTACCTTCGCGCGTGTTGTTGTCAGATTATTGTCCGTTTAACGACGTTGCGAGTGTGGTCAATGCAAAGCGGTATTCCTCCTGTTGGTACATCAACTTTTCCCCTCATGGAGGTGTTTCCCACCGAAGAGGGAGGACGAAAAGTCGAAATTCGGGGCTACAGCCGGGTAGGGCATCACTAGCAATTTACCAAGGGGAGAGGGCTAAAAATCCTGGTGTCAAAACAAACCAAGAATAAGTGTATGTGTAATGGAACCGTCAAGTCTATTGGAATCCATATGATGTGGGGACCGTGTATGGCACCATCAACTAAGGCCGCCGTAGGGTAGTTCAACCAAGTTCCATCCACCGTGGTAGGGCCCTTATAAAGTCGTTTTCAACACTCGTCGACCATCTATACCATCCGCAAAATCGGCCCTCGCAATAACGAAACAGTAACCGTAAATTTAAATTAACTAAAGTCCTTCTCGCTACCGGAAGACGCTCCGAAAACCGAAATAGAACCCGTCCGTCCGGGGGTGCTTCCACTTGTGGAACAGACAGTTGAAGTCGGACCCGATAGTGGTGAGGCAGTTTTGACGGGCACTGAGGACAAAACCATCCCAGAGGGAGGACAATGTAATGGAATCGAAAGTGCATTCGGCCACACACCTCCTAATACAGAGTTCCCTCGTTCCCCTCTTTCAGGCTTCACCCGGCGCCCTAACAACCGAGGAACGCTCGCTAAACGGTGACTGACATTCACCCCTTGTTTAAAGTTACTTGCTCGTTGTTATCGATTCTATCGACCTGTTACAAATCCATCAATCAATATAGGGCTCCTTCGCTCACAGCAGTTGCACGTTCTGTTTTCTCGTCTTTGGTGATAGCGGCGTGCTGTGCAGAGTCCGTGCTGCGAGTAATCGACTTTGCCCGTTTCACTACATATGAGCCAAACACATTCAACGGGTGATCCCATCCAAAGGGTGCATGATCTAACAAACAGAAAGACGGGTCCCTAACAAAACACAGTTTTCACACACTGTCTCGCTGCCTTGTGGACCAGGCTATGGCTAACAAAACGATTCGGTTATGAATCTTCAAGGAAATTAATCTGCCTTGACCTGGGTGATCTGCAGTAACGCTTCCACGAGCAAATAATAAAATTTCACAGCGAGAATTCGTCATGTATAGAGCAAATGAAGCGTGCACTGAAAAGCTAGGAAGCACTGGACAACTGTTTCGACCTGGTTGGGTCTCATCAGCAGTGCGAGTCCATTGACCTATCCGGGATCCGACAAGCAGAGCGCAAGCACACCACCCACTCGACCGCCGGGATGATCAGACCGTTTTTCATTTTCCATTTCTCACATGCAACAACTTTTTCCACAAAGATTATTACACTGTGATCTGTACAGTACACAGTCTTGACGTCTGGCAGATTAGATATGTATATATAACCAGGTTCGATATGCGTTTGGCACCTTCAACGTGTAAAATGTTGCTACAAGATTGGGTTGGTCTAGCACCCAGTCTCACTCTAACTAGGGAAACAATAGATCAAGTGAACCAGTTCTGTTATTTGAGCAGCTATATCTCACTCGGTGGACACATCACGGATCAGCTCGCATATAGAAGGCTCGGTTGGCATTTGCTAACTTGAGACATCTGTGGCACCGTCGCGACATCCGGCTGTCCGTAAAGGGTCTAGTATAGTCTGCGGTGATTCTGTCAGTTCTGCTAAACGAAGCAGAAACGTGGCCAGCACGAAAACAGGGTAAAGATAGACGGTCGGCGTTTGAACACCGCTGTCTATGTCGCATTGTACGAATGTGGTGGGGCAACCGGAGGAGCAATGCTGACGTTAGGCGCGGGGTTTTGAGTTACGCGGTCGTCCACTGGAGCAAATGGTCGATCTCCATAGATTACGTTGGTTGTGGCATGTGTTACGCATGTCACCAAATAGGTTACCACGGTTTAAAGAGTAGGTAGTGAGTAAATAAAGCCAAGGGTGAGCTAAAGAAGACCTGGTACGAGGGTATGAAAACCCCAACCGGGAGATTGGGTTATATAGGTCCCGTTACGCTCCCTGGCTGGGGATCTCGGGGTGATGGTGACCGGTGGTTAAAGACACTGAGTGATGTCTGAGTGTCATAAACAGTGGTATTCGTGCATCTTTTCAGTTTTTTTTTCGCAAAATCAGTCCACAGAAATGCACTATTTTCTCTTCGAGTCTATTTTCCACCTTCCCTCCTTTCCCTGTCTGTTCATCCAAATGGACAGCCACAAGACAGCAACCAAAACCGGTGAACGAAAATGCATGGTAAATGGTTGTACAAACTGAAACTTCGAGATAACGCTATGATCGACTGTAGTCACCCTGGTTCTTTGCACGGTGTCTGCTTCAACAGATTACAGTCAGAGTGGATTTGGGGGCGCGTTTGCATAGCGACGCACAAAGTGACTGTTTGATGATGATGCTCAAATCACAATAGCACAGTCCTAGGTGTACGGTAGATGCCTGTTCATCGATCGGCTTTTGAACGAGAACCCTAAAGGCAGATTTGTGAGATTTGGAGCAGTTCAGTTTTTTGGGAAAGAGCATCAAACAAGAAAAAAATTACCACACGAATAAGAGATGGAATGTTATTCACAATTGTAATCCTATGGACCATAGACTTACCGTAGTAGGCTTTCAACATCAGTTCCTTTTCCAGCCAACGAGCTCTGAGCCACGAAGCCAGACGAACTTCAAAATCAAACGAAGGATCTATACTGTCTTTGTCCCCTTCCCACGGTAACTCCGATGCCGAATAGGCGCGCACGTGATAGTGCACTTCGCTGGGAACACGACCGCAGAATATATTGAATTCCGGCGAAGGTAAGTTGTCCGGATAGGCCACAGTGACATCGTACACATCAGTCATGCGATCTGTGAAGTGCAAAGTGTGAAACACTAAAAATGAACAAACAGCTATCCAGGAATAGGGATCTTTTCGTAAACCGAATTAGTTTTGGGCTAGGGGAAGAAAATGCTCATAGAAGAAATAAATTTTGGAAATATGCTAAAAAGCGCAAGATCATCACATGTGTTGTGAAAACTGTTGTGCTAAGGACAACAAGGAGCGTTGTGGATAGCAGCTTTATTCAGTAGTTCTGTGTACTATCTCCATGTTTCGAACGGTCAAACTCGGGATGGGGACCTTTGAACCGAAAAATGCGCAGTGCTGTTAGGAGGTGCATAATTGTTTTGTGGATGGCTCAATATACAAGAAAGCCGCAGTATCGAGCCGCCTGGGATTGGGTGAGAAGGTGCGTTGAGCTCCGATTTGCGCTCATGCGCAATCGCATCTGACGTGCAATTATATGAAATCAGGGACCGATGACCCGACTGATTCGCATTGTACCCCAAAACATCCGCACGTTTAGAGGGTGATGCACTTTCGTACTTTGGAATGCATGAGTACCACAAACAGTGATCTTGGAGCCACTAAAGGCACTGCCTAAAACTTTTAAGTGTTTATCTGAGTCAAATATTTCGTCTGGTAGCGATCATTTCTGTGTAGCATGTGATGGTAAAAAATGAAACGGTAAGTAATCCCAAATCAATCGGAATATTTCTGTATAGCAAAGTAACGGATTCACATTCGCCACGCAACTACATGTATTACACACAGAGGAGGAAAGTTTGTTTTCAAATTGGGGATTGCAGTTAACTATGCCTAAAATCCCTTTTCTATATATATATATATATATATATATATATATATATATATATAGAGAGAGAGAGAGAGAGAGAGAGAGAGAGAAATAGAGAATCCAAACGGTCCATGATAATCTAAACAACGTTAGCTAACGGATAACATTCATCCACAAAGATGAAAGCAATATGAGACCCCCTTTCTTAGGCTTCATCAGCACATGAAAAAAAGGAAAGAAACACAGATACGATTGTGTGCAGTAAACCGACAACAACATCAGGTGACTAACTACGACAACAATCATCTCACGTGTGACCTAGGAAGCCGAGTGGGCACTTTGTTCCGCCGTACGGACACACATTGCAGCACAGAAGAACTCCCGCATTAAAAACGAATGCATATGTTTCACCAGTTTCGCACAAATGGATACCTCAAAAGTGTTGTCCAATCATGTATTGGGGAAAAGAGAAAACCAAAGGATGGAAAAAAGGAAACGAAACTCTTGCTACCACCCTGTCGCCCTGTGGGTATTACTACTGCCCACAAACCTACTACACTGCTGTCGAATTTCTTCAACGACAAGGATAACGTAGAACCACGTTACCCATCAGGGGTGGTGTACGCGATTCCATGTCTAGACTGTGACCAACATTATTTGGGAGAGACACGCAAACAACTGTAGGCTAGCATGCACAAACACGCATTACCGCGCGCTGACGCCAAGTCACACCTTTGGAATCACTGCGTAACAGCATAGCACGAGGTCATCAATGATGCAGAAATAAAGGCGAGGGCAAACAGGAAGAGGGAACATCTGATCATTGAATCGCTCTATTCGAATAACTCATTCATCCGACACATCGAAATCGACAAACAATACGCAACGATTACACAACCAATGAGGAACGCGGGATAGATGGACAAACAGGTGCGATACAAACCACAATTCAAATTTTCATCATGGCTAAATTACAAAACTGATGCTTATTGGATCTGTCCACACTGGGCTCGGTTGGTAGAACAATTAAATAGCAAATATATGTAGCAAATCTAAAATTCACTCACGGGTGTGGAAAAGTTAGGTGTTTCAGTGCTTCATCGAGCAGTGACTTGAATGAATCGATGGCTGGTGCACAAACAGTTTGAGGTAGAAGATATTCCCAGGTAGTACAAACTTTGAGGCTGAAAGAGTGACGCCTGTAGTCTCTTTCAGAGAAAAAGTTTAAACGGATGTCTTCTGAGGTGACTATTCCTGGATAGTGTTAGTAGAGTACTACATGGATGATTAGACTGATGTAGTATTTGATATACGAGGATCATGTCTCCCTATATTCAACAGTATTCAGATAAACAAAGTCCGATAATATGCAGCCTTTCACCGTCGGTTTCAGATTGTAACTCTTTGACCGTTTTAGTTGCTGTTCTCTGCGGACATTCATGTGGCTTTTAACCGCCAATCAGCTTGTATAGTATATTCGGTGGGTGGCCTAATGTATGCCGATAGCAAACGGGACAATAGGTCTGCTTCGAATGATCAAAAAACACGATCTTGTGCAATGTATGGAACATCGTAGATCCTCATGAACAACTCCCAGATCCTTTCTGTTTGGAGCACGCGGTAACGGCTGATTTCTAAGTATGGAATGCGTCTCCTGTGATGCAACGATACAACCTTGCATTTTTCAACATTGAATTAGATGTCATTAGTGACAGACCACCGGTAAGCTGCGTCGAGAGTTTCCTGCAGGGTTTCATAATCTTCAGGATGTATTACCGTCCTCCATGTTTTGGCGTCGTCAGTGAATAATAATGCCTTTTCTCCAAGGACAGCTGGTAGGTCGTTTAAGAATGACAGGAAAAGGTACGGACCAAGTACGGATCCTTGTGGAACTCCACGGTCAGCCTCAATCGGTCCCAGTAGAGAAACATTAACTCAAACCCATATGGTACGCTGTCGAATATATTCCTCAGTCCAGTCAAGGAGCAGTCCTCGAACACCGTAGTTATGGAGCTTTCGCCGCGGCATACGGTGGTTAATCCTGTCAAAAGCTTTTGAGAAGTCAAAGCAGACTACATCTAATGCCTACCCTGCATTGACTGATCTTGTCCACTCATCTCGTGCAAATAGCAGGTTTGTGGTGCACGAGCGCTTTCTTCGAAACCCATGTTGGGCAGGCGAAAGAATGTTATACTTCTCGAAATATCATCAAAAAAATCAGTAACAATCGATTCCATCCTTTTTGACAGAACTGGAAGAAGTGTGACTGGACGGCAGTTCATAGCATCACTTCTACAGCCACCTTTGTAAATAGGTGAAATGATACCGGGTTTCCAGGACGGAGGAATCTTGATCTTGATGAACATGCCTTGGTATAAATGAGTAATTTCAGAAAGAAATGATAGACGACTTCTCAGACAATGGATATCTTGACTGGCTGATAAAGAAACAGCCCAGAAGGAAACGGAAGCATCCCACTGTTGCAACCGTACCAATCTGCATGTTCATTACTTTCACAGGTAAACCAATCACGGATGCTGAGTTACAACTGGTCTTCTGTTCTAAGCGCGTGTTTTCATCACAGGTTAGACAAAGAGGATGCCAGCGCAGACGATCACATTCTGCATCCACTAATCCGTTTTCACCTATGGATCAAGCTGCACGGGTCGAAAGACCAGTCGATTTGATTGAACTATTCCGATTGGACTGTAATCAAAGGAGATTTGACGGCACCTGATGGCCGTCGCGAGGACCATCGCGATTCAACTGAACACATAACCCCTTCTGCGTTCGCTAAGGCTCTCAAATTCTCGCGGCTATTCGTCACAAATCCGACTAAATAACCAGAATTGTTTTTATTATTCCCATTTTTGTGATGAACAGCAGACGGGATGGACCCCACAAACGTCAAGACCTGCGGCTCAGTGCGGGAACCCGGGAACCTAGGCTCCGGGACTTGGAGTGGCAAACCATATCAGGACCCCCTAGGTTGATATTGACCCGGACGACAACAAAGCTAATTATAACCAAAGTTGAGTAGTGGCGGCGGGGCTTGAATCTCGGGCCACGGGGNAAACCACTGCGCAACCACCACTACCACCCGAAAGCATAAATGTACTTCACACATGGTTCAAGCTGTGCAACGAATACACTGTATAACGAGAATGTGCACTACAGATGCGGGCGGGCGCGTGTGTGGGTTAGACTTGGTAGGAGCGATGGCAGAGAAAAACAAGAGAACAGTACCGCTGTCCTGAACGCGGTGACCCCGGGGTAGTATGAAAACGAAAGTATGACTGCGTGGTAGACAAGCCCAGCTAATAGCGGGAATTAGAAAGAACAATCTCGAAAGTTCACATTTTGCTGCCGATAGTTGGGGGAGGGGAGAGATAAGGCTTACTAGTAATATGCAAGTTTTGTTTCAAGCATAGGAATCAAGAGTGTCGAAGGAAAAAGTGCTGCATATACAGACATACGATGAGCAAACACGATCAGGTAAGATTGAGGTCAATCAGATTGTTTTGTGAAGGACAAGTGTTTGGTTGATGACTGTGGTCAATATACAAGAGAGCGGATAGCAAAACATACAAGTGACTGAATCTATACAAAGGCTAAAAATAGGCCGAACACAGCAAAACGGAAAACGAATTCAGTCATCCATTCAGAAGTGGCGGTAAACTAGCGGGATGGAGTGAAACGGACCATGTTGATATGGGTAGACAAAAACGTTTCAAATAATTTTCAGTCACAATGTGCTAACATTTGTCACGAAACAGCAAATTTGTATACAACGAACCAGATACAAACGTGTGGCCATTCCAGTGAACTATTTCCTATTTGAACACGGAGGGAAACACAAAAATAAAAATAAAAACAAACTTCTTTGTGTGACCGAAAATATACCACAAACTGTATCCATTAACAGTGCTGGCTGCAACACGAGAATCGCAGGGATGAGTTATTCGGCTCCCGAAAACAGGCCGTACATGGTGAACCATGCGAATCGAACAACGAAGGGATATTTCGGTGGACATATTCAACCGAGCAGGTGTTTGTTTACCCTTTGTGGAGGACTCACAAAGAGTAAACAATGCGGAAGAGATCAGGTTTACGATCGGAACAAGACAACATGAGACCTGAGATTTCCTTGATCAGCAGAAAAATTAAACGAGTGTTTCCCTGTCCAGTCCTACCTTGATGGCTAGTGGTGGTGGTACTCAAGCAGTCTAATTCGCTGTCGGGCTTTAGGCTTGAATGTCTGAGGTTCGAACCCTGCCACGGTCACTCAACCTTGATGACAGACAGTTTTTTTTTCATCCCGCTCAATAGTATAGCTATTCTCTAATAGGGCCAGTTCATCATTCCAAGTCTTCAGGATTAACAATGCCAATTACTATTATCAGTGAGTGCTAGGCCATCGCCACCATGAGGTTACTTCTTTCTGACTCCTGTCACACAAGGCAGTACAATAAAAAACCGACCAAAGCTTTGAACATCTGCTCGACATCGACCGCAAAGAGCAATGAGACTGAGACAAATACTTGTACCTTTTGGTCAACATGGTAACAACATACGACATGTAACCAGAGAGGACAATACAGAACATGTGGACTCAATTCGTCATGACTACGGAGGGCACCATACGATGATTCACTCAGAATTCCCAGAATAGGAAAAACTTGTTTCTGACTAGAGGAGCACTGAGTTCAGTATGAGGTCATGTAAAGACGAGGTTTGTTAAAACAGCAATTAACCTACCAACGCCCGAAACAGATGATCGATTTCCACATTGTCAACAGGTGTTCGTGAGGCTATCTCGCGAGTGATTAAAACATTAGTCTCCCATGCAGTACTGTTAGTGTGCGTGTTAACTAACCCGTTTTTGTAGCATCACATATCAACGTGTCCGTAAAATGATCACATTGTAAGGAAACTTTATATAAGGTTTAAAGTATGTGAGGAACTTAAGGATTGTAGGTTGATTACGAAATATGAGATTATCCTGCAAAGTTAATGTTGTCATTATACTATATTATATTTCACACGCATCTGAGTCAAGATTATTTCAAATAAAGTACGGTACAATAAGATCTATGACAGAAAAGAGCTTATGATTAGCTAGTGCGAAGCATACTACCAGGTAGTACAGGCCAAATTAGGTGAATTTTCATAGGGAATTCACAACAGGAGCCTTCGGTAAGCCAAAACCTGACCGGCAAGGCAGCGGGGCAGTGTGCAAATCATGGTCTGTAGTTATTTCATCAGATCATACACCCTTT